CCTCCTGGTAAACGAATTGTTGGTTATCGTTGGGTGTATACAGTTAAATTTCATCCGGATGATTCTGTAGAGCGTTCAAAGCCCGACTTGTTACAAAGGGCTTTACTCAGACTTATGATATTGATTATGAGGAGACTTTTCTCTCTTGTTGCCAAAATTTCCTCTGTCTGTATCTTAATTTCTTTGACTGCTAATCTTAAGTGACCCTTATTTCAGTTAGACGTTAATAATACCTTCCTACACGGTGACTTGGTTGAAGAGGTATACATGGAGCAGTCACCTGAGTTTACTGCTTAGGGGAGTATGGTAAGAGTGTATGTCGGTTAAAAATTTTTTGGTATAGTTTGAAACAGTCACCAAGGGTGTGGTTTGGTAAGTTTTCAAATGCAGTTTTAGAGTTTGGTCTTTTTCAATGTTAGATAGATCATTCTGTGTTTCATAGACAGACGGATACTGAATATGTGCTATTGGCGGTCTATGTAGATGATATTGTGATCACTGAAAATAATTTTAAGGGGATTGCAAAGTTAAAAATCTTCTTGCAAGATTGATTTTATACTAAGAATTTGAAAAAATTTAGATATTTCTTGGGAATTGAAGTGACTCGATCCAAACAGGGTATTTACTTATCATAGAGGAAATATGTGCTTGATATGCCAGAGAAAATAGGTTTGCTGGGTGGTAGACCGATTGATGTTTATATGGATCCGAATCAAAAATTATTGATGGATAATGGTGTACTGTTTGAGAATCTGGGTTGGTATCGCAGATTGGTTGGGCTTAATTATCTCACTATTACTCGATCGGATATTTCCTATGCAGTTAGTATAGTAAGTCAGTTTATGGGATGTCCTAAAGTACCACATTGGGAGACAGTTACTTGTATTTTGCGATATCTCAAACGAGCTCCTGGACTTAGACTGTTATATCAAGCTAATGGACATCTTAGAGTGGAAGGTTTCTCAGATGCTGATTGGGCTGACTCTCTTTTTAATCGGAGATCAACCATTAGTTATTGTATTTTCTTAGGAGGTAACTTTGTCTCATAAAAAAGTAAGAAACAACTCGTGGTAGTAAGATTCAATGCTGAGGCTGAGTATAGGGCAATGACGCATACGACGAGTGAGTTGACTTGACTACTATACTTCCTCTAAGAAATTAAGTTTCTAGTTCAACTTCTTTTACAGTTGTTCTGTGACAACCAGACAACTATCTATATCGCTGTCAATCCGGTGTTTCACGAGAGAACCAAGCATATTGAGGTTGATTGTCGCTTTATTCGGGACAAGATAGTAGCTAGGGAGATTACAACTCCATTTGTGAAATCTGGAGATAAGCTAGCAGATATGTTTACTAAAACATTGAGTTGTACACGTCTTATAGCGATTTGTTCCAAGCTTGGATTACATGATATATATAGTCTAACTTGAGGGGGAGTGTTAAGAATAGTAGGATAGTATGTGTAAATTTTTAATAGTAAGAGGGTGTATATGTAATTCTTATTATTGTAAGTTAACTATAAATACAAGTGATGTATGAGAGCTAGGTTAAGTTTTAACCTCTCTCTCCGTCTCTAATATTATGTTAATCTTCTACTTAACAAATATCAAAGGTATTAGATATTTAGTAAAAAATTGTAGTTTGTCCATAACCTAACCACATCATAATGCACTATCCAAAGCAAGGATTGGATAACACGAATTACTTTTATCCCCCTACAAATCTGGGTCATTGGGATTTCACAAAACTGATTTGAGATTTAAATCTAAGCCAGTCCAGTCCATCCATGAATTGCCAAACACACCCGAAGAGGATTCAAACCTTGGTGCCTCTCCTCCTCCTTTTCCTGCTCGGCTCTCTCCTATTTCTCTCTTTCTCTCTCTCTCTCTCTCCTTTTCTCTATGGAAAATGCTCGCATCTCTCTTTACAGATCATACGATGCAGTCCGACGAAGGTGCCACCTCCATGGAACTTGAAAAAGTTCCATCTGAATCAAACCGTGTATCTTTTGCTTCAAAACCGAACTTTGCACCCTTGAAGGCTCACGAGATATCTGACAGTCAAGTTCAATTCAGGAAAGTCTCTGTACCACCGCATCGATATATGTCTCTCAAGAAAGCATGGATGAAAATTTACACTCCTTCTCCCCTTATTTCCTTATTCTCTTCATTTTTCTCCCACCTTATATCAACGTTACACAACACAATTACACTAATTAGTTATAATTACCTTATAATACACTAAATAGTTACTCATGTGTTTTAATAAAACCAAACAGTTATATTAAACAATTATACTAAATTACAACACCAATCTAATTTGTCATTTTTTTATTTACATAAATCAAAAAGTTACATCATTTAATTTCACAACATAGTTACACCAATTATATAGACTAAATTGAGTTTATCATTACACAAAAGACTTTACCATTGTACTAAATTTAATATATATGATTGGTGTAACGATGTTGCGATATTAAATAGTGCAACTGTTTAGTTTATATAAATAACTGAATGACAAATTGGGTTGATGTTATAAATTTGTGTAATTGTTTAGTGTAACTGTTTAGTTTAGTAGAATATATGAATAATTGTTTGTTGTATTTATAAGACAATTGTAATTTATTGGTGTAACTGATTAGTGTAATTGTGTTGTTGTAATGTTGATACAAATAGAGAGAGTGAAAGAGAAAATAGAGAGAGAGAAATGAATAGAAAAAATAGGGGGAGAGAGAAAGAAAATAGGAGAGAGAGATGAAAGAAAAAATAAAAAATTTACATATTTGAAACGAAAATAAATTGTCAATGATAGATATAGAGAAAAATATGGGAGAAATAGAGAAAGTAATGGGGGAGAGATAGTGAGAGTCTAATGAAATATTTCCATATTTGATTAGATATATAATTGTCAATCAATAATGCATAATTTAAGGGAAGACATTTACGTAAAACAATTTTGAGTTCATTTGAATTTTGTACTTAAACACAATATGTTTTATTAAAATTAAAATTAACAGAATAAATAACTTATTCATACACTTTTCTTCAAATAAGTCTAAATAATTATACCCATAACCAAACAAAACTATCATATTCAATTCTACAATCCAACTAATGGCACTAATTCACACTAGGCTTTTGATAAGGAATTTGGGTCTATGTCGGGTTGAGAAAGACCAACCAAATAATATCATATTTTATTCATGCGTAATTGTATCCTAAATTTGGGATACCAAATTACATTCTAAATGCATAGAGACACTTAAACGAGTGGATACTATTAAAAAAAGTTAACAAAACTCACTGATTTGAGGATCTATATTGATTTGTGTACAATTTGACATCGTGAATTTGGGATTTGTAGGAGCACTATTTATCCATTTTTTTTACTTGTATTAAGGTCAACAATTCTTATTTTATTGGGTTTGACAGTAAATTGATTGATTTTATGAAAATTATTTTGAGTTAATTACAAAATATCTCCTTTAAGTTTGAATCTTATTATAATCGACTCCATCCCACCGAGCACCATACTCTCCCTCCCCCTCCCCCTCCCCCGCCAAAAAAAAAATGATTCCCCTCCTCCATCTATTCGAAATGCCAAATCCATAGCTGTGGCAATAGAGGAAGAACAATATAAGGAAAGACATGATAGACACACACAGAAACTTAGCACCGTTAGCATCATTGAAGCTTACAACCGTCCCTGATGAGTCTTTACTTTAGAATTTTTATTTTTCAATTTGCTAGTTTTTTTTTCTTCTGTTCAATTTTTCCCATTCAACCACACTCATATGATGGTGTATTTACAGCCGTGATGTTGGTTGGATTTGATGTTGATGAGACACTTGTAGTGGGCTTTTCCGCTTTTCCTTTTCGTTGGTTGGTAGTTGGTGGGTGGTGCTCAATTTGAAAGCAGATGTTAAGGGTGGTGGTAGTTGCTTTGTGAAGGTTGTGTTGGGCGTGGTGGCATTTACTTGGTCACCCAGTATGGTAAAAGAATGAGAAAGAAGATAGAAGGTTAGGGGGTTAAATAAAGTCTTATGGGTATAAAAGTTATATTACAAACTCTTTTTCAACTCATCATATAATTTAGTTTATCTAAACTTCAGGGGAGTAAATTGTTAAAATTGAAATGAAAAAGAGTCGATTACAATAAAATTTATATTTAAAAGGTATAATTTATAATTAATCCAATTATTATTTAATAAATAAATCAATTTATATATATAATAAAGTAGTTTACAATTCAAATCTCAAAAGATAAACAAAATGACTTTTGCTATTTACGGTTAAGATCGCTTTAAATTTTACTTTAAAATTAATCTAACGGTTAATATTAAAACATCAAATTTAATAGAAAAAAAATAACCTCTTAAAGATGTGTTTGGAGTAATTTGTTAAAAGTGTTTTTAAGAATTATTTCTCATAAATACTTAAAAAAAAATATAAATTTGAACTGCTCCACCACTACCTCTACCATCGCCACCACCACCGCCGCCACCACCATCACTACTGTCGTCGCCACTGTCATCGTCGCCGCCACCACTATCACCATCTTCGCCGCCGCCGTCATTACCATTGCCACTATAACTATTACCGTTTTCTACCACCACCACTACCGCCCACTATCTCTCACATCCACTACAAATTGATGTTTAAATTTATTTATTTCTTCTCTATGCTTGTAATTTAATTTTAAATATGAATACAAATATATTTATTATTTATTATTTTTTATTATTCTATACTTTTAAGCACAAGTAATAACTAGTATATATATATATATATGTTGTTGTAAAAAGGGCATGAAACGGCCACTATGATACACAACCATAAAATGACTCACATATGTAAAGAGAATTCATGGTCCACCAAAGTCCCAAACCTTAAGAAACCAGAAACGAATGGAGCCACAAGTTTGATTGATAACAAGACGTATAGAGGGGCATTTAAGAGTTAAAGACCATTAGAAAAGAAAGTCTCCCACGTCGAGGTAGAGGTAGAGGTAGTCCATCGTATGTATGGAATTATTCGTGCATCGAATCCCTTCCACTTCCGTACCCTTTGTTCTTGAAAAGTAAAAAGTCTTATGGGGACAGAAAAAGGCAGACGAAAGTCTACCTCTGTGCCTCAACAAGAGAGTAAAGTGAATGGCTAGAATTGATGATTACAGCGAATGACCGATCCCTCTACTAAGATCAAAACCCAACCACTTAGTTGATTTTCACAGGCTCTGCGAAGTAGACGAAGAACATCAGGAAGGGTTCAATGGGTCGGGTTCTCTCCGGCGTAATCAGATGTATATGTGGTGAAGTAGACGATGAAAATCCAAGTGAGTCATCCCATCAAGTTTTTCTGGCAAGTCAGGTATCAAGCAATAATAGTTGTCCATTGCTTCAACCCCCACTGTTTTCTCCACCCTCCATTGACTCTTGCAGTGATTCATGTCCGGTTCTTACATTGAACCCTCCATTTATTGTAAGCATACATGGGGATTCAATCACAAACGATGCTTTCTATGATCAAAAGCAGCTAGATTTTCGACGGTGCTTGGACGACTCACACAGTGACCCAAGCACAAATGGTGTATTTTTCCAAGTTCTTAGTTCAGCACCAAGCTCTGTGACACTGAGCGATTCACCAGGATTAATTGAGTCACTGAGCGACTCAAGCGAACTAGGTGAGTTGATGATACCAAGTGTAGACTCACTAAGTTCTTCTGGTTCTAATGACCCATTTGATTCAACTATAGTTGTCGATATGAAAATTCAAAATGTGGAAGAAAAAAGAGAAATTACACAAGCTCTGTCACAGTCACAGCTAAACTCGAAAGAACTAGGAGGAGAAGATGAAGAAACAAAAGAAGAGAAGGTGAGCGATGGTGTAGTGGAAAGAGAGAGATGGATAAAGCATTATAGTAGTTACCACAAAATACTATTAGTGGGTGAAGGGGATTTCTCATTCTCAACTAGTTTGGCCTTGGCTTTTGGTTCTGCAACTAATATGACCGCTACTTCTCTTGATTCTGAAGGTGAAATCTCTTTATTAGTCTCCACTGCTAACAATATATTGATGGGGTAACTATCTACATAGGACAAATATACATCTAGGCACTCTGTCTATTACTATTCTTTCTCTCGATTAGAATATATTTGCGAAGAATCGAAACTGTTAGGCGATTATTGAGATGGATCATGTAGGATCAGAGAGAACTCTTTTCAATAATGTTTCTTATATGACATGATTTTCTAGGCAAATGCATGCTGTGAACCCTGCCTAGCCTATATAATTGCTTGTTTGTGCCCTGCAAACTGATCATGTATGGTTTAAATTCTGATTTTATGGTGGGATATGAGTTGGGATGTTCAGGGTTTTTGAGCAGAAATTATTGGAATGCTATGGCAAACATCCAGAACTTAAGGAGTAGAGGGTGCAAGGTCATGCATGGAGTAGATGCTACTGAAATGGCAAACAATTTCTTGTTCAAGGGAGAGATATTTGATCGCATAATCTTCAATTTCCCTCTTGCTGGCTTCTTCCCGAATGAATCACGCGAAGCCCAGCAAAGGTCTGTCAATATCTTGCTTCCTTCCTTCAACTCAATATATACTTCGAGTGTTTGTGTGTGTGTGTGTTGAAACTTGAAAGTATAATTCTAATATCATGCTTTCTTGCAGCCGACACAAAAGACTTGTAGGCCTGTTTCTGGAAAATGCTAGTGAGATGATCAGCGAAAATGGTGAAATTCACATTGCCCACAAGTCAAATGGCTTCTTCCGTGAATGGAACTTACCACTTTTGGCATCTAAATGCGGCCTTCTACTTATAGAAGAGCAGCATTTCGATTTCGCCGATTATCCAGGATACAGAACCAAATACGGGTTTGGTGGCAACAGAAATTTTCACAGCTATCCTAGCAAAATTTACAAATTTGGACTTTGGAACTGCCAAAAATTCAGCTTGTAAGCTAGCTGCAGAATTATGATATGACTTGCTGCAAGTTTCTATGATGAAATGGTGTTAATGATAGGTTACATTATACTCGAGAACATCGGGGGAATTGTCTCCTGGTTGTATGATATTGCTATTCCCTCATACCAACCACAACACAACATAATGAAACCATATAATTTTGGACGCCTGTACACTACATATGTATACATTTTTCTCTATGTTCAGAGAGGCAGAGGCGACTCATCTTTGCAAAAATGCTTTACTGGTTAAGCTCACCGGTTGTCTCCAGACGAGTTAGGTAAGGAAAATGCTAAACAAGTACACAATTGTATGGGATGATTTTCGTATAATCACTCAAATGGTAAAGGTGCGTCCCTAATCTTTAAATATCGTCTGGTTAATTAGCTGCAAAATTAGACAGAGGTATTGCCGGTGGAAGCCTGTCCGATGTCAATTAATAATCGAATAGACAAGTGTATAAACTAAAAAAATGATAAGAATTTGTGTGAGGTATGGAGCACTCCTGCATATGGGGTTTCACCCATATTTATAGAGAAAGAGAGATACTTACTGTACTCATTTTTTATCAGTGGAGTTGGTTAAATTTATTAGTGGAGCTAGTTAAAGGCTGATATTTCTTTTTTGGAATCTTGGCCCCTAGCGCTGCATGCCGGTTGATGCAATCTCTTTTTTCAGATGATGGGACTCATAACAAAATATTCCGTCAATAATTCAAATAAAATTCAAAAAATTAGAAATTAAATGTATATTATTCCGTTTATATAAAACACTAAACAGTATACTGCAAAATTAGACAGAGGTATTGCCGGTGGAAGCCTGTCCGATGTCAATCAATAATCGAATAGACAAGTGTATAAACTAAAAAAATGATAAGAATTTGTGTGAGGTATGAAGCACTCCTGCATATGGGGTTTCACCCATATTTATAGAGAAAGAGAGATACTTACTGTACTCATTTTTTATCAGTGGAGTTGGTTAAATTTATTAGTGGAGCTAGTTAAAGGCTGATATTTCTTTTTTGGAATCTTGGCCCCTAGCGCTGCATGCCGGTTGATGCAATCTCTTTTTTCAGATGATGGGACTCATAACAAAATATTCCGTCAATAATTCAAATAAAATTCAAAAAATTAGAAATTAAATGTATATTATTCCGTTTATATAAAACACTAAACAGTATACTGCAAAATTAGACAGAGGTATTGCCGGTGGAAGCCTGTCCGATGTCAATCAATAATCGAATAGACAAGTGTATAAACTAAAAAAATGATAAGAATTTGTGTGAGGTATGAAGCACTCCTGCATATGGGGTTTCACCCATATTTATAGAGAAAGAGAGATACTTACTGTACTCATTTTTTATCAGTGGAGTTGGTTAAATTTATTAGTGGAGCTAGTTAAAGGCTGATATTTCTTTTTTGGAATCTTGGCCCCTAGCGCTGCATGCCGGTTGATGCAATCTCTTTTTTCAGATGATGGGACTCATAACAAAATATTCCGTCAATAATTCAAATAAAATTCAAAAAATTAGAAATTAAATGTATATTATTTCGTTTATATAAAACACTAAACAGTATACNAAGACCCAAACCAGAAACGAATGGAGCCACAATTTTGACTGATGACAAGACGCATAGAGTGGCATTTAAGACTTAAGACCATTAGAAAAGAAAAGTCCCCCACTTAGAGGTAGAGGTAGAGCTAGTCCATCGTACGTATGGAACTATTCATGAATCGAATCTCTTCCACTTCCGTACCCTTTGTTTTTGAAAAGTAAAGAGAAGTCTTATCGGGAAAGAAAAATGCAGACGAATACCTCTGTGCCTTAACAAGAGAGAAAAGTGAATGGCTAGAATTGATGATTACAACGAATGACCGACCTCTCTACTAAGATCAAAACCCAAACCACTTAGTTGATTTTCACAGGCTATGGGACGAAGACGAAGAAGATCGGGAAGGGTTCAATTGGAATCCAAAGTTCTTGTAGATGAAAAAGCAGAGAAATGGATAAAGCACTATAGCAGTTCTCACAATATTTTGCTAGTTGGTGAGGGAGACTTCTCCTTTGCCGCAAGCTTAGCAGAAGCATTTGGATCTGCGTCAAATATGGTTGCCACCTCTCTTGACTCTAAAGGTATGGATACATGCACCATAGTTTCTTGGAGCATTCTTTGACGGTACTCAAAATTTTTTTCGCTCATTTGAACAAAAGTACTCTGGATAATATTTTTCATCATCGTTATGAATATGTTTTATCGTCGAAAATCATTCGATTACTTTGTGGGTACGTGTTGTCTAACTGAAAAACTTTTTCTCATGAATGCCAAACCAAAGTGACATTGGTGACAAAACATCCTACTGCAGTGGCGAACCTGAAGAAACTGGAGGATTATGGGTGCACCATTGTGCATGAAGTGGATGCCAACACCATGAGCCAACATCCTCTTCTCAAAGTGAAAGCATTTGACAGAATTGTATTTAATTTTCCTCATGCTGGTTTAAATTACTTCATGTGTGAACACAGCATGGTCCAAATTGAGTAAGTCTGAACCCATGATCATTTTTCTTTCCCAAGTACAATACTTCACTAAATCATAAGAATGGCCTTGGATAATAAGTCAATTTTTTTT